CAAGCAAAAGACACACAATATGGAGTGCTACCTGGCTGTGTTTTCAAAACTGCTTTCAGGCAAGGAGAGGTGCGTTTCTAAGAGTGTGGCTGAAAGGTATACATTTGTACCTGCAAGTAAATATCAGCAACCTATCTGAGGAGAAAAATGCACATCCACAGCTACTGATCCAGAAGCAATTGGTTTTCCAGCAGGATCCTATATTTAATCTAAATTCTGCACCAGCTATATTAAATGTAACAAAGAAATGCAACCCAGAAATTATGCCTGGAGCCAAGTCCATTAAAGGTACTTCGGAATAACTAGAGACCAAGCACCTTAAAAGCACCAGAAGCTATTGATACTTAAGAGGGGGGCTGTGCATAATCGCAACTGCTGCATTAGAGAGGGGAGGGAGAAAAAAAAAAAATCAGCCAAATTACGCTTGGTTAATTCAGAGTAACAGATCTGCCCCCAAGTGAATTGGAGGCCTTGAATTAATTCTGTTATGACAAATCAAGATAAACGTTCCCCCTAAATTGCATGCGATTTAATTAATTTTTGAGATCCTGGGTTTTTTTTTTTTTCTTCCTAGCTAATAGTTCACATGCTCCTGTGCTGTCATTGTGCTTGAGTGGGCAGACTTCAAAGTGATATTAAATAACCAACTATTAGATTTACCTAGCACGTCCTATTGGAAAAGTGCCATTTAATTACCTAGCCTGTTCAATTAAAGGGACAGCATTCTCTGAATATAGCAGCTTGCTGTTGATTACCAGGGAAATGAACTCGCTGCCTGGCGGCGCCTCCATTCCTGACGCTACCCCCTCCCCAAACACACCCTCCGCCACCAACCACCACCAATCCCCCCCACCCCGGCCGCGCCAAGCTACTGCGGCTACCGGCGCCACGTGAACCACCCGAGCGGAGCCTGGGAAAGAAAGCGCGACCCGCTCACCGGCTCCCGCCCTGCGCTCGCCCCCTCGCGGGCCCGAGGCCGCTGGCCGATGGGCGTCTCGGCTGTGGCCTCGGGCGGCGCCGGCCCAGGCCCGGCCAGCCCGGGGCTCACCGACCACCGCCACCGGGCTTCCGGCGCGTTTCCTCACCCTCCCCGACCTGCAGCCCCACCCGTCGGTCCCCGAACTTCCTCCTCTCGCTGCACTTTCAGAGGCAGTCTTCGGGCCCAAGGTGGGGCGGAGGAAACAGGGTTAGAGGAAAGAGATCTGGAGTTTCCGAAGCTACTTGGCGCTCGGGTGGAGCCAAGGGATCCGGAGCCGGGGATGGGGGGGGGGGGGGTAGTTCTAAGGTTCGCGGACTTTGGGGAGGTTGGGGGGAGGCAGGCATTGGTCCCTTTAAGATCCACCCTCCCCTTCCCCTGCACACCGCCCCCCCCCCCAGCCTTTCCCTCCCTGTCTTAGAGGCCAATTTTGTTAATTAAATGTTTTGTTTGCGACGCAGCTCTCATTCATTGCGGACACGTCATTCGGAGCAGATCTAAGCCAGAGACCAGATCTCATTAGATAAAGCCCATCAGAACTAAGAAAATGGAGGAGCCACTAATTAAAGCTTTTAATTGTGCGGATTCGCTGCAGCAAGGCAGCCGCTTTATCTGAAATCTCGGAGAGAGGAGGCAGAAGCCCAGCTTGGCCCAATCGACACTTGGCCACGGAGGGGGAGGGGACTGGGGGAAAAAAAACGTTCCCCCTATCCTTCCTACCTCACCCCCGCCGGCCTCTCCCAGCTTTGCTGCAGCTTTTTATCCAGATATTGGCTGATCTTGGTTGTTTAAACACACACACACACAACCTTAAGGTCAGACAGTTTAAAAGCCCCTTCATAAATCGCTTTGTGGTCCCAGCCAGGCCTAAGGGTCCTCCTCTTCACCTGGTGGCCAGCAAGCAGATTACTCCACTCTTCAGTAGCTGTCCGTGTGGCATAGAAATCTCCTCCAACAAGTGGACTCAGGGGGAGTTTGGGCAGGGGATAGCTGAGAGGAAAAGGCACTCCAGCACCTCCCTCACCTTCCCACCCTTTTTGGCATCTTGATGTACTGAGGGAGAGGGAACACTAGCTTCTGAGATCTCTAAATTGGCTGCTGGTGAGCAAAGTGTTAGGTGATGATCCATTTGGTACTGAACTGGAATTCATCTCTCCCAGATAAATATAAGAGTCTCAGGGTAACATTTAGTTCAAGAGCAAGCTTAACTCCAGTTCCCAGATTCAGAGCAAAAAGAAAGAGTGAGACTATGGATCCATCAATTAATTAAGGCTCAGGGCTGGGTACCCATCCTCCACTGATCCATTAGGTCACAAGAAAACACCAAATGGGATTTATATTTGGTCCCAAGAATAGGGAAAGGAATGGATTCAATTCCCAGGAAGCCACTTGCCTAAACTTGTCCTAAGGGAATACAAGTGGACCCATCTTCTTTTTAATTAGTCGTAATCAGAAACAAAGTTTTTTTAAGGCAACCTGGAGAAAGAAATGAAACTACCATTCACCAAATCTTAACTGCACCATCAGGTTTTCCTCTTCAAACCACCCTCCTTCCTTACCACAGTATTGCTCTCTAATTTTAATACTGTCAAAGCTCAAGGCATTGCTTGGAAGACCAGAAAGCATTACACCCATGCTCCTGATTTTTCTAACATTTACTTTTAAAAGAACACTTAGCAGAATTAATGCAGCCATCTTAATTTAAAAATAAAAGCCCTCTCCCTTCCTATATTTCTTTTACTTGACTGATTGAGGATGCCACCAGAGTGGATACTGGTTGCATTATCAGAATAACCAAACACCATTTTACATTAATGATTATCACTGGGGTAAACACACCCATACTCCGCTCTGAACTGCACTGGGATCTTTCGCAGTATAAGCTGCAGTGAAGTGAATCTCAATAGAGCTAAACTTTGAACAAAATATCTCATCCACTGATTTACCCGCATTGAAGAAACAACAAAATTTTCTATTAATTCCTATAAAGAAAAAGGTTTAAGGGCAGAAATTTAAATAGAATGAAATTCTTAAAAGTGTTCAGTTCTCTATAGTACCAACGGTGTGTGTGTGGTTTCTTTTTTTTTTTTAATTACTGGATGTTGAAACAGAACACCTCCTAGAAGCATTCATGTGCATCAGTCTATCAAACCATTTACTCAAATTAAATGTGTAATCCTTCAAATGCCTCCTTTCAAATTAATGAGTTTAAGTAGCTTGAGTTCACCTGAAAAGATCCTATAGGCACCTGACCTCCTGAATTCTTTCCATTAATTGCACTGAAACTTGTTGGAAAAGACTGCTTACATGGACATATGAATGTTCCTATACATTGCTTTAAAACGCAAGATTAGTATAATTCTATAGCCTCGTTTTCTAAATCTCTTTGGGGATCAAGGACAGTGCTACAAATGACGACAACAACAACAACAACAACAAAAAAAACTACAGACCTGAAGGTTCTTCAAGTAAAAAAAAAAAAAAAAAAAAAAGCAATTTTTGCATCGTAAGCCACACACTAACATTTAAGCAAGCCTCCAAGTAACAGTATGAAGAAAAACATTACCACTAGGTTTTGTTTTGGGGGTTTTTGCTATAAAAAGAATTACAAGTCTTTAAACTGATGGGTAATCAGCATTTTTCACAAGGAGCACAAAGAATGAGTCAGAGCATTACACTCAAAAAAAAATTTAAAGGTGCTTATGCAAATATCATAATTAGCCATCACTACACACACTTTCTCACTAACTACACTTTTATTTTTAAGTTAACCTTTTGTCTCTGAGCTCTGTAGGGCCCTACCTTGCTTTAAAAAAGCAACTTAACTCCCACTTGAAATGCTTATTTTTAGCCTGAAGTCCAGTTAAGACTGAACACTTAGGGTGCTCAATCTTTGCACATACAACAGCCAGTTCCATTGGACGGGAGTTTTTACTTTGTATGGCACTTGTCCCTTATTTGTTATCAAATACGGAAGACTAGTACATGCTTCTTAAATCCCTTAAATTTCGCTCATCAGGTTTTTGAGGTGAAGGCTGTCATGTCTTTCGATCGGTGCAGGCTCCTTCCCTTCAACTTTGGCCTTGCCACTGCTGTGCTTATCCTCAGGAAAAGCCATCAGACTTACCTAATGTAGTCATTTCTGCAAAGGATCATGCCGCTCTTGGTGTAACAAGACGTGCCGATGTCTCCCAGCTGCGCCTGGCAGCAGGAGCACTTGAGGCACCGGCTGTGCCAATAGCTGTCCATGGCATAGAGCAGAAAGCGGTCCGCAATCTTGCCCCCGCAGCCTGCGCACCGCTTCCAGGAGAGGGAGCCGGCCGTCACCGGGGGCGGCTGCGAGCTGCTGCCCGGATTCACCATGGTCTGCAGAGGGCGGGAAGGGGACAGGGAGAGAAAGACAAAACAGGGGCGACGCAAAAGTTAGTAATCGCCAGAGAGAGAGCAAGCCCATTCCCCTCCTCCCCCCCCCCCCCGGAGCTGCTGGAAGGAAGCGGCTAAGCAAGGGCGGGAAGAAGGCTGAGCGAGAGAGGAAAGGAGGGAGGCTCGCCGGCAGCAGCTGCCTGTTTACTTTTCTCAAGCTTTGTTCTGGGGCCACGAGCTCCTCTCAACTTTCCTGCGCTCGCCGCCGCTGACAATTTCAGCTCCGGTACTGTCAAAACTCCGAGAGCGAGCTCGGCGGCGCGCTCCACCCCTCGCAGCGCCTCCCCCAAGCCCCCGCCTCCGCCCACTGCCCCCTCCTCCCCGCCGCCGTCGCCGCCGCCCGCCTCCAGCAAATGAGGGTCAAACCCACCCACCGCCTCGCCCGGCCCCTCCTCAGCCCCCGCCGAGCCCCGCGAGCCAGCCGAGGGGCGTGGGGAGGCGGCGGCCCCGCCAGAGCCACGTTCCCTCCCGAGCTCTGCCCTGGGAAGTGCAGCTGCAGTTCACAAGTTGGAAATAGTTGGGTTTTCTGAAAGAGGAGGGAGGGACCGGCAGAGGGGAGATGGAGAGCGTGGTGGTGGGAGGGGAGGCAAGGTGGCGGGAGGGGGTGCGGTGTGTAAAGTTGCGAAACTGGTTTTTCGTATTTTTAAACAGCACCTTTCACATGCCATTGTGGTGACCGCCATCTCCCATTATTGTTCCAAATCTCATTTCATTTTCAAGATCAATGAGTGTTTTCTCTGGGTTTTCAGGACACAGGCAAGAATAATAGATCATTGAACTTTAGGATGCCTGTTAACTTCCTACACAAACACTCTCCACTTTGGTCTCACTAATCTGCCCTTGATCAGCAATTTAAATGCTAAAGCTTTGCTACTCCAAAGGAGGGGGGGTAGGTAATATTCTAGAAGGCACTATTAAGTGATGAACAAGTTATATTCAGAGCCAAGTCCTGCTGTCACCAAAAACTGCTTTTAAACATTCCCCACTCTTTCTAATGAATGCCATAAGAGAAGCAACTGGGGTATAATATAGGAATCAATTTATAAAGCTTAGCCTAAACCGATTAATTTGTTGCCTCCAATCCTGAGTCCAATAAAGTCCTAGTGTTCCTTCAGTCACTTATTCTATAAAAAGATCAAGTTATTTACTGCCAATTAAGCAGCCTGTTTTGTCTTTGTCCTCTGTAAGCCAAGAGTGTGGGCTCCCCCCAAGGCTCCCAGCTATCTGCTCAAGACATTCAGCTGATACCTCAGAAGGGAGAGGGCGAACTTTGCCTGTCCCCGGCCCAACTTGGCTGCTGCAAAAGAACGAGAGAGAGGGAACCAAACAAGGACTCGAGTTCCTTAAATAGGCTGATTTTAAACACATTTCCTCCGAAAGAGTCCCGGAACGTGTGTCCAGTGACCGCACAATAAACCAGAATAAGAACTGCACCAATTAAGCTGTAACAAAACCCTGAGACTTTGGAAACAGGACCACTCTAAAACCCATTAGCATTGCATTTATCCGAATGCATCATACCTTTATGTAAATTGATTTATCTGATGCATTTACTCGAGGAATTGCTTTTTGTTACAATTTCAGTCCTAACCCAAATGAATCTGCATTTCCTGCCCTAGGTCTTTAAACTGTTTCTCCCCAACGTTTTAATCGTCCGAATTCCTTTTTAAAAGGGGAGAGGGAGGGAGGAGATTCCAAGCTGTTCCCCGCCCCCATCTTTGGTGAGAGGTAAATATATATGTATATTTTTTTGAAAAGGAAACATTACACTGAGAAAAGCATCCAGTAACCCCATTAGCTAAAGCTCTTAAGGACAAGCAATACCTTAATGCTGATTAAATCTAAAAGAGATGAATCAAGAGGACTGACCAGAAACTGACTCCCCTGATAACTAAGGACGGGCCCTCATCAAGTTTCATTTAGAGTTCGAAAAAAAAAAAAAGAAAGAAAGAAAGCTTTTAAGTTAAATAGGCTTATACTCTAGTAATTACATAGCCAAGCAATTTAGGTCCTGGGATAGTCAGTGAAATAGAAAGCAGAAGTGGCAGCTAGAGGCAAAATCTGCCCCCCTTTAACAATGTCTCTGGTGTTTTTTAATGGAGACCAAGGGAGGGACAAACGTAGCGCTGGCAATTTGTAGTACAAAAATGGATGCTTAATTCATGTCTTGATTTTAATTAGGTGATTCACCGGATTTCTCCTGGATTGGAACAAAAGACTTATAAGCCAAGAGGAATTTTTTTTAAAGAACCAACAATACCGAATTCTGGTCACTTAGATCCTTTCTGCCACTGTTTCAAAAAAATAGTGTTTACTGGAGGGGGGAGGGTCGTGACTGTCCCCCTTCTGGCACACACTACTTCTTACACTTAAATCCTCATCCAAGCAGTCCCTGCCTTTCCCTTTGCAACTGGAAACGTCCCCACCCCCCTTCAGGGTCTCCACCAGCCCGGTCTCCAAGAACCCTTTTGTAAGCAGGAACCGCTACAAAGCTGGCGGCCCGGGGCTGCCCTCCGCGCTAGCTCGCAGGCCGGCCTCGGTAGTTTCAGACTCGCGCATTATCTAAGGCGACGTATTGTTTACTTGCAATTTGGGACGGTCAAGGGAAGGAAGCCAAAGAAAACAGCCCCGGCCCCAAACGGCCCCCTCCCCCGCACCACCCTCCCAGCCCGCGGCTCCCCAGCCGCCCCCTTACCTGCTTTTCCCCTATATTGCAATATTGCGAGAGGCGGCGGCGGCGAAATTCGAGCGAAGCCGCTCGGCTTCCAAGGAAGGGGCGCCTTGGCTGGCGGAGCTGGAGGGAGGGAGCGAGTTCTCGCAGAAGCAGGAAAGGGGAGGAGGGGGCTAAGGGCTGCTTTTTTTTTTTTAATCGCGTTGCTCTGGGGCGGGTTGGGGGGCGCCGCGTAAGTGGCCGGCGGCCGGGAGCAGAAGTGTCAGTCCCAGTCCTCGTCCTCTCCTCCGCCTCCGGCTGCGCGCGAGCAGCTGCAGGAGCCCTCGGCCCGCGCGGCGCGGCTTCAGGCGCGGCGCAGCGGCAGCAACTGCTGCAATCGCTGCTGCAAGTTTGGCAATGTGGCTTCACTTTGTATATGCCCCCGCCGGGCGGCCCCCGCCCCCGCCCGCGCGCCTCCCGCTCCTCCTCCTCCGCCGCCTTCCTCCCTCCCGCGCGCCCGCTCGCTCGTTCGCTCGGGGCCGGCGGCGGCGGCTCGGCCAAGCACTGCCGGCCGTGGAGCAGCCGCAAAAACAAGATCCGAGAGCGGCCGCGGCCGGTGAGGAGGCCGGCAGGCGGGCGCGCCTGGAGTCGGGGGCTGCGGGCGGCCGCGGCCCGGCGCGCTGGAGCCTGCGCCGCTGCCGGGGCTGCAGCTGCCCGGCTCGGAGGCGGCGGCGGCGGCGGCGGCGGCAGCGCTGGCCTCTAGCCGGCTCGCTCGCTCCCTCCGCGGCTCTTACACATGTGTTACTGACAGAACAAAATCCCAACTACTCCCCGGCTCTGCCGCCGACGTCAGCGACCCTCAGCCACTGGGCGGCCGGATTGTTCAGGCGGAATAATAAAACCTGCCAATCCGGGGAAGGACAAAGGGATGACTGAAACGAGACTCAGGGGGCGGGGGAGAGAGTGAGGCAACGGAGCCGGCCGAGGAAGGCGCAGGACTGGCCGGAATCAGGTGGGGAGAAGTGGCCCTGGCGCCGGTCGCCGGCTACCCGGCTTGAGCTGCCTCCACAGCCCGGAATCGCGAGTCGGGTCTCGGGGTTGCACCTGCCTCTCGGCGCGCGAGGACCCTTAAGATCCGCACCCGCTCACCCCTCGGGGATTGCCCTCCTCTCAAATCCAGAGGAGATCCTGAGAAACTTTGTCTCAGAAATGGGTCTCTTCCTGCTTGGGAAGAAAAGCCTTTCTGCATCAAAGCGTTGCTCTAAACTCACACAAGCATGCAAAAGAGGGTTTTTTGTTTGTTTGTTTGTTTGTTTGTTTTAATTCACGATGTTGGATATTTATGAATCTTAGTGGAAGTTTAGTTAACAAGGGAAAGACGTTCCTGCCTAAATACTGACTGCTAAATCTCCCACTTCCCATTAACCCGAATGTAAACTAAGAGCTTAGTAAGCATTTCATAGATACTTGTCAATTGCTGATGATGTACATACCACAATCCCTATTTTCAAAGTTGAAAAAAAAAAAAAACCTTAAGGGAGAACGCATTGCCCTACCCTATTTTCCTCCTCACTGTGGGGGATGAAATGTTGAGTTACTCTTAGCCTGGAAAGCAATGGAAGTTATTTGCACTCTCACAGCCTCTGAAGAGTAGAAATGACCTTTCTAGTATAAATCAAGACTTGAGGAATGCTTTTAGGGTGCTAACCAGAGAGTCTCTTTCCTAGGCCCAAGCTCAGCCTAGAAGCTCGAATACCTACCTAGACATTCAACAAGGCCTGCCAAATAGGTTTAAGAAATCTCTGATTTGAGGCTAATATTAGGTCTGATTATTATTAGTAAGTTCCAGAGAGGTTTTTCTGTTGGAAATTATCATGAAAGTGCAAAGCCCTTCTGCTAAGTATCATTAAGTAAAACCAGCCTTGTGGGACAAGTTTTCTTATATTGTGTTACACACAGTACTGCTAGATTGAGGAAAGGAACCTGAAGGAGAATCTGGCAAGACAATGCACATGTTGAACATCCATGGTTTTAGTGTCTGTTGGGGAATTTCTATCCTTTAAACCATCAAAATTAGGACTGAAAAAGAAAAAAATAATTATTGCCTATAAAACTAAGCAGAGGACATTTTAAAGACCAATTAAAATACTCATTTCTTTATTCTAGCATCTTAAATTCCTTATATGTTAAAATTAAATGAATTAATTTTACTGATTTGTATTTAAAATTGCATTGTTATGATTACTTCACCTTGGGCACATATAAAAAACATTTTTAAAGAAATCATTAAATCTGCATTAATACTTTAAATGTCCTGAATAAAAAAAACAACTGTAGAAAGGCATGATTAAAGAAGGCCAACTTAGAAAAGATGTAATACACCTTGAAGGTTAGTCAAGAAAACCCAAACCAAATGAGGAAGACCTCCCCCACAAAAGGAAACATTTCAATTCCTGGGGTTCATTTTTAATTTGTTAATAATTTAAAATAATCAAAATGAGATGACACAGGATCTTAGTGGACTATAATTATGTTAGAATTTGTCATATATAACTAGATTTCCTTCTCTTGGGCTTTAATTTCTCATCAAAAATGAGAAAATTAAGCCAATGCCCATTATTCTTCATTTTTTAAAGTGATTTTTTTAAAAATAGAACATATAACACATAGTTCTATAATGAATTGTGGTATTGTCTAAAGAGTGTACACAATAATGAATTTTTAAATTCTAAAACGAAATGTTAGAAACTTAGCCAGGCACATTTCAGATATCACTGAGTGATTCATCAAAGAATCCAGGTAGTTTGTATGGAAGGAGGGAGAGAAGGATTTATAAAACTTTGAATACAGATTTCTAGGCTATCAGAGGCCTAAGATTTAGGAGGTGGTTTTTGTGTTTTGGCTCTAATTGTGTGTGAAGTTAGGTCTTTACACTTGTCCCTGTAAATTGGAGTGGGTTGGAGTGTATTACCATAGAGCTTTATTTGCTGATGTTGTGGTTATAGAAATACAAAAGTGATAATGGTTAACATCTCTCCTCTGAAGGGTAGGGAGTAAATCCATTCACTGTAATCAAAATTCAGGTGTACTTTAACCACAGCGCCACCTCTGGGTAGCCTTTATTTCTGCATTCTTTGCATTAGCATTCCTTTCTCATCTGGGTAGCAAGATTTGTGGTCTGAGAGTGCCTGCCTGAATGAGGTACCAATGTCAGTCTTTTATTTCCACTGATCCAAAACACACCAAAACTGTGTAAACACATACAAGTTCATCATGGGTAAAAGAGTTCTGTATAAGGGCATTCTTTAAACAAACATAAAAACGGTACTTCAAGTAATAATCCCTATGTAAAGTGAAATTGCCTAACTCAAAATAATACAATATTGTGCCCAGCAGTTGAAGAAACCTCTGATGACGTCCCACATTAATCATTCAGCCTACTCACTTAAAATGATAAAAAATAAATAAATATGGTGCTTGGAAAATAAAGCAACTCAAATTATTTCTGTCTTGAATTTTGATTAAATGTAAGAGCCATATTGGTCCTAGATTAAGCCCTTATTCCTTCTGAAATGATTTATCCATATCTTCCTCTCTTCTCACTCTAGTCCTTCAATATGATCATTGTGTTCTCCAAGTGACAGTTCTCTAAGAATCTGCATGGATAGCCAGAGTTTGCACACAGACCCATGCTATTTTCCATGCTGAGATGGCCACGTCCAAGACAAATGCCCCAGCACTTTCTCAGGAAAAAATATTTCGCCCTTTTAAAGCCAATGCAAAACTGTTTGGGAAGGAAGTCTTTTTAGGCAGGACTTTTAAAAATTCCCCCACCTGTATTATTGTTGTCACCGAGATCCCCTCGAAGTAAAAAAGCTCCTGCAAGGTGAATCCAAAATGCTTGAGGCTGGGATGACAAATTCCAATGTGGAGAGAAGAAGGAATGATAGCAACAGAGAAAGCCCAAGGAAGAGGAATGGCAGCTGGGACCTGTACCACTGCTTTGTGTTACTGTTGTGGGATGGAGGTGGGGAGTACTGCACAGTAAGGGGTTTATGTCCAACGCATCAAGACTACATCTCTGAAAGACTACATTTCAAGGAACCATATCTTGACTTTAAAATATTGATAATAATACTTTGGATTTACTGTCTTTTTGAGATTTCTCAAAATCCCTTATAGGTATCTTACTAAATGTTTTATGTGATAAAGGGTAGACAGTTGCCTTATTAGAAGATTCTTTTTTTTTTTTAAGAATCCCAATGATTACATTTGGTAAATAACTCATCAAATTATGTTAATCAGTACTTAGGAAATTCTATCCTAACTACTGTTTTATAGGGCAATATAAAAGCATAGTGAGGCATGGCACAGTGGTGCACACTTGTAATCCCAGGTCAGGAGGCTGAGGCAGGAGGATTTTGAGTTCAAAGCAAGCCTCAGCAACTTAGCAAGGCCCTAACCAACTCAGCAAGACCCTGTCTCCAAATAAAATATAAAAAAGGGCTGGGGATTTGACTCAGTGGTTAAGCATCCATGGGTTCAATCCCCAGTACAAAACAAACAAACAAACAAAAATACACACACATACACACACACACGGAGTTGATTTTATTGAAATCAAATAATGATAGAGGGGTGAAAACAGCATGGATATTGTTATAGTTGGAAATAAAAATGTAAGGTGTACATTTCACTTTAAATTATTCTATTTCATGAGGACATTTAAAGCTCCTGGAGATGTCAGGAAAGGTGAAAAGGTGATGGGAAAGAAGGGAACACATCTGTGCCCCAGCATTTTGTCCAATGCAGCAAGATCTCTGTGTTACAGTGACAAGAAATGACTTGTTTTCTTCATATAAGAGTAGGAACATCACCTTAAAAATCCACCAAATTTGCCTCAGAACTCAGTAAATCTTGATATATGAATATATTTCATAGCAATGATTTTATAAGGAAAATTATTTCGCTTACTCATACTACCCATTTCTAGGACTGAATTTTGTCAACAAAATTCAAGCATAAGTGATATTCTGCAAATATCATTGCTGATAATTCATCAGACCACATGTGTGAGTATATTATATTTTCATTAAGGTCTTCTCAGTGGCCTAATAGGTCGACAAGCAATGCTTATTAAAATTGAGTCAAATCTTTGCATGAATAAAGTTAGTTTTATAATAGTTACAAAAGAGGATATATAGATGACTGGGTCATCTGTATATATGTGAAGTGGTTATTACTAAGGATATATATTAAAATTATAAACCCAGTAGAAAATAGTGATTCCATATAAAATCACCATTCCTCTTTAAAATGATGCAAATGAGCATTTATTGATAGAGAAACTAAGGCAATAAAACATAGTTCATTCTCCCTTATGTTGTATGTAACTATTCTTGGTTTAAAATTTTTTAAAGGCTAGTAATTCAGAAATTTTAATTGCCCCAA